CTATTTCACTTGGAAGACACTTTTTGTTTGACTTTTTTGTAATTTAGTTGGATTATTTATTTATTTTTCATCTTTTGTTTCAGCTTTTAGTTGAAATGAACTGGTTAAGATTAGGACCTGACCATTTTTTGGATTAAACTATGCCTTTTCACAAAAATCATTTTTTGTTAGAAAAACAAAAAAACCCCAGCTATAACTGAGTGAAGCTCAGCCATAATCCCAGCAGATCAGCTGATCTCGGTAACCCACAGTTTCTACACATCTGAAGCCTACTTCAGCAGAGAGATTTCTTGTGTGCGTGCTACTGTTTAACTTGAAGCTCTGCTGTGATGCCTTACTGAGCTGCTAGCATGTCTGTGGAGTCCTGAGCAATTTTCCCATATGAACTAAAGGTGGTGTTTGTCTTCAATCAGGTCAGGATATTGTTAATATTTCTTATATTAAGCATACAACAATAGATCTGGACTGGATGTGTAGTGGCGAATTTCTGTCCCAAGCTTTGAAAAAATAATTCTTTCATTTCTTAATGTGAGCTGTCCAGATTTGTTTCTAACTCGTACATACAAACAAACGATATCACGGTCAATAAACTATTTGTTGCTACAGCGCACATTTCCATTACCGTCCTGGCTCATTCTAACCTGCTACCACACATGCGCTGTAATGTTTTCTTACCCGACACAAAATTAAACACGCATCATATATTCTCTAACCACATATTATACAAAATCATACATGTAACATAATAACTGAAACAGTATCAAAAATATTTCTCTGTAGATTGGCTCTAACATTTCCAGCCCCCTCATTGGAGGGCGTCAAGACAGACAGTTAGCGAACACTTACAAAAGAGCCAAATAACGTTAACACTTCCGGTATCACACAAAATATTTCTCTATAGATTGGCTCTAACAGGATGTGTTCTCACTGAAATACTGTTTTTGGTTTAGGGAAGGGTTGATTGTTAAACAGAGTGCAGAAGCTTCGAAAGATAACAGCCTCAAGCACATTGTGCATCCACTGAACACTTACCTGAACTCTTCTCAAATGAGTCCAAGAGTGGATTAGACTTTTGTATTTACCCATGCAGCACTTCTAGGTAAAGTCTAGAAAGATTTAGAGGTGTAGTGCATGTGTGAAATTGGCCTTCTCAGTGTAGTAGTAGTAGGCTAGCAATACAATGCTGTCCTTCGTTTTTGTGCTTAAAAACACTGATGGAGCACATTTACGGACAGAGCCTGGCCAGTTTTTTTTAGACGACTTATTTAGCAAGTCACAAATATACCAAAAAGTAGTACAGATGACAAGTTTGACAGTTTTACTACTATTCATGCAAACTGCTGCCATCTTGAATTGTGAAGTTGGTGTTGGTGGGGCTTCTCCAACTTTCTGACTGGAACTCTGACCTGAGGGGTCAGAATTTAGTAGAGCATTACAGGTTTATGCCTTGAAGAACTATCTGCACTTAATCTAGCTGATTTATGTCATTTTGCTTCATAGATGACTACAACTTCATGTCATCTGCATGACATCTAGGCACTGAACCCTGTGCAACTCCATGACTATTTTATTAAACGAGGACAACTTAAAATCTAACATGAAAAAATTAAATTTTCTCACATTTAGTAGAAAATTAATCTGTTTTGAGATTCTTGCTTAGACCATGGGATTTTTGGATGATTCCAGTATGCCTAAACTTAGCTCAAGATACGCTAACACCAAAAATATTGAATTATCTGTACAGACCACCACAGACTCTCACTGATCCTAAAATAACGTAATGGTGTCCCTGCTTTCAGGGAAGACTCCTCTGCGAGCCTCTTTGTGTCTTCAATGCAGGTGTTGGGGATAACCAAGGGATCTTAGTGAAAGCCGAGTGAAAGTTAATGGGTTTGAGGGTCCTCAGAGGGCACAGAGGGAAAAAGGGGTCATGACATTTGATCGTCCTGCCCTGACAGGCCAAGGCACTGACAGAGAGGTCGGGGTTGGAGGGGGAGCAGAAATGTACCAAGAAGCACATGGGTGGGGCAGGCACGCACAAAGACCCTCTCAGTGCAGTGATCAGGCTTGTCACCCAAGTGTAACCCTCTCCTATGGCTTAACTCTCCGGAATACACTGGGAATATGACTCCAAGCCACTGATGAAAACATTTCGAATACAAAAGTGACCTGGGAGGAAAAAAATCCCTATTGAAGGACATGTTTATCCCCGTTTTGAAGCGCAAATCCTGTAAAAACAGCAGTCGAAACATTCAAGCGCACCAGCTCATTGACTCTGATGTAAACGCGTACATCATGATTCAGTCTTCTTCGTAGCCGTCTACCAACGCTTGTCATATGGACCAATCATGGAGCAGTTGGGCATAGAGCCACAACATAACAGGAAGCAAGTGGCATAAACACGGGCTATAAACACAGTAAACAAAACCAACAGAGCACTGACATGCTGCTGATTAAAAGGGTGAGACGTTTGCTGAAGAGGTGTTCAGAAAAAGAATGTACACAAACAGTCGGTGATTAGAGATGATACTAATCTCTCTCTGCAGGGCGAAAGTCAACAAATCAAGGTGAGGGGAGATAAAAAAAAAGAACATAATGGAGATAATGTGAGGTCTGTTACTTTCAGCATTTCCACAGCACCATATTCAAGAGTTATGGTTGTTGTGAAACCACATCCAGTGTTGGCTGCTTGAACTGTTTGTCAGATAAAGAACAAAAGAAAAGTCATCTGGGATCACTTTAAAGAGCTTTAATTTCAAATGTCATGTATTCGCTTTACACTGATCCAGTCTGAAGTCCATTTTCTCAGCCTCCTCAAATAATAGTGATGCTATTCAACGTTGTTTTCTTTTTTGAGAAGTAAAGTTTTGACTTGCAGTCCATTTTAAATTAGCATTTTTACAATTACATAGTTAAACCAGCACTTTAATAGGACAGTAATGCTGCTTTTACTGGAAAACAGAACCAATAAGATAATAATCCAATGTTCCCTTTGAGGAATATTGACTCACCGGCCACTTTATTAGGTACACACTGATAGTATATGGTTGTTCCCTGGAACTACAGCAAACATTCATTTTGATCCAAATTGACGTGACAGTATCACACAGTTGCTGCAGACTTGTGGGTTGCACAAGTCTGCATCCATAATAGGACTCTCTCGTTCCACCACATCACAGAGGTACCGTTTTTGGATTGAAATCTGGTGACTAGAAGCCATTTGAGTACACTGAATTTATTGTCAATCACAAGAAACCATTTTTAGGTGATTTGAGCTGCTGGAGTTGGTACACTGTGGTCATAAACGGACGGACATGGTCATCAACAATACACAGATGGGCTGTGGCTGTAGATGCTCAGTCGACACTAAGGGAACCAAAGTTTGCCAAGAAAAGATTCCCCACACCATTACACCACCGCCAGCCTAAACTGTTGATACAAAGGAGGATGGATCCATGCTTTCATGTGGTTCACATGAAATTCTGGCCCTAACATCTGAAGGTCACAGCAGATATTGGCACTCAGCAGACAAGGCAATGTTTTTCCTCTTTCTATTGTCCAATTTTACTGAGCCCATGTGAACTGTAGCCTCAGTTTCTTTGTCTTTGCTGCTGTAGCCACATCTGCTTCAAGGTTCGACATGTTGTGCATTCAACCACAGGACGTTCAACGTCACTTAAATAACCCGTCTTCTCAATTCTGATACTCAGTTTAAACTTAAGTGGGTTGTTTTGACTATGTCTACATTCATAAATGCACACAACTGCTGCCATGTAATTGGCTAATAAGATATTTGCATTAATGAGCATTTAAAAACGAGCCGGTGAATGAAAAACATATCAAAAGAAATATAATCTGTTTGATTTGTAATTTATATATAACAGAAAGATGTGAATTAAACAGGCCAAACACATATGTACCATTATTTTGTTTTATTTCATTATTATAAAACAAAGGTTCAAAGACATTGAGATTATGAAATGTTGGACATCATTTACCAACAATGGAAAACCATCATCCTCACTTGCAGGACACTGTCTACTTTGAAATAAATGTTTGGTTCACATGGTTGTTGAGCATTGTGGTTGAGTCTATAACAGACATCTAGAAATCTGTCCCAGCAGCCTCAGTTTGTTGGTAAACTGTGGTTTCTGGCCTGCTGTTAGGACTGTTTTAGACTGAAAGGGTCTGTCAGGCCTCTGGTCTTCTGCTTGTTGGTACAGTGTGGTTTCTGAATTACAGAACAGATATGTTCAAGCCAAAACACACAGAACATCACAATATTGTGAGGTTTCTGGGGTTAATGGAGAATGGAGTAATTGAGGGGGGCTGCATTTCTGTGCTATGTGAAGTGCAGGATTGAAGTGTATTGCAACATTTTTATATGTAATAACTAATCTCTGCGAGCTAACGGTAAGTAGTTTTAGTGATGATCAAACTGGCACATGAAGCTCCTACAGTCTACACAACAACTGCATTAGTGTAATATATTTTCTCATTGGATGGTATGTATGAATTCGTTTCAGTCTTACTTAAATGGGCAAACAGATGCTCAATAACATATCCATCTAGTTACCCTTTATGGTAGTTACATTATTACTAAGATCCAGCATTTGTATATAGAGAATACTCAGCGCTAGAATACAACTAAGTACATTTACTCAACTACACAAAATGACTCTGAAGTACTTCTGTTTTATATTACTTCTTTTTTTGGGAGGTGGGAATTATTTCCCACCAAACAGTAACATAAAAGTATGGAAATTTTTATCTAATCCTAAAGCTAAAAGATTCATTAAACTAATCTATGAGCTCTTAATGGAGCCTTTCAATAAGTGAGCTGTCATTACTTTCATTTATGTAGCTCCTCTGATACTCCTGCACAACCATCGTCAGACTGGGTAAGCTGGGAGTGCAGGCTGAATGAAACAGGCAGCAGCGTGTTGCTCGACAGAAAAGGTAGCTTCTGGTTACAAACTTTGGACCAATCAGGGCGCTGCTTCGCTTTCCTGCAGCAGGAGCAACAGAAGTTCAACCTGGACCCCTTCACGAAGAAACTATCTGCTCTAAATTCATACTGACAATGCCTTTTCACTTCCGCTGACATATCTGATAGCCAACTAATTGTCACCGAAGGAAACATTTCCGAGCGATGACAATGTTGGGCATGTATGTGCCAGACAGATTTTCCCTGAAGTCGTCAAAGGTCCAGGATGGAATCGGTCTATACACGGCGAGGCGAGTCAAAAAGGTTTGTAGTTTCTGACTCGGGCAACTTTGTAACCAGGTTTACACGCGGGAAAAGTTTCGTGTTGCTTTTTAAGAGACTCCTAGAGGTGTAGATACTTTTTTCTGTTCGCCTTTTCCCACTGATAGTCGCTGTCAAAATCTCAGCCAGAAGCCAAGGCGTCTGTGACGTGAAGTGCCACGTAGCTACAGTAACTCCGGCTGTTTCTCCGGGTTCACTTCACGTATTCCTGCCTGCAAAGAAGGCTCGTTCCGCGGATAGACATCCATGTTAAATCCAACGTAAAGATTTTAACTGTTCACGCCAATTAACTTATACATTCACATTCATGTCCCCCACCCTTTGTTGCCATATATGCAGAAAAGGAGGTGGAAATGTTGCGGAGGATGAGTGGGTGGAAGTGTCTGTACTGGGGATGTTTGGTCATTTAAATGTGTGGTAAAAGTTGCAGAGTGTGAACATGAATACAACAAGAAGAGCGGCACAATTTGACCACGCCCCCTGGGAAGTCAAAAGGAAAAATGTCCCGTACTGAGGGACACATGTACATGTCACATTAAACAGTAGGCGGGCCCACCATCCACCCAACACTCATCAGTGCAGAAATCATGTCCTCTGGGGTGTATTATTATGGTTTAATGTCATTCATTTTTGGCTGCCGCTGTTTTCTTTAAAGGCATCGTGTTTGACAAGTGATCCCTCTGTTTGTGTTAAAGGGAGAAAAGTTTGGCCCCTTTGCTGGTGAGAAAAAGCTGCCCAGTGAGTTGGATGAAAGCTCGGACACCAGGCTGATGTGGGAGGTGAATGCGCTTCTTTTTTAAAAATGTAAAACCTCAGGGAATGGAAATGCTGAATCTTCAGTCAGTTTGACAGACATCCTTCAGACCAAGTAGTTTTAACTCCAGAGTTCCCACGACTGCACCTCCGAAAGCAAAAACCAAACATGTAAAATGCTGTAACGTACCCGAATCTTTCCAATTACTACAACAGTGTTATTTCTGTGATGCTGCATAACACGACAGCTATAGCTACAAGCTATATTTCAGAATAAAATCTTATGTTTAATAAGAATTTAACAGATACCGCAATCCAATACCCTGTTCAAGATTATTTCTCTGCATTTTGGCCTGTGATTTTTAACCATAATAATCAGGGTGTTGTGGTGTCTTGTTGTCATGTTTAAAATGTCTGTAAGAAGTCAGTGTTGGTCTTGTCACATGGTTTCATTTAAATTTCTGTTCAAAGTCCAAAGAGATACATTTGTCAAAAAATGTCACCACCCCTGACAATAAATAGTACCCAATCCTGCAGTCTCACAATGTCAAAGCATCATTCCAAAAAATCTTTCACTGGATTGGGATCAACTCCAAGTGTTAACCACATTGGGCCAAGACCAGTCTTTGGTGAAAATTTCATTCAAATCCATTTCTAACTGGATGAGTAATCTTGCAGTACTGTGCAAACATCTATAGCCAGCCCTCATTTCCTTATCTTTTGCTAGGAAATTTGGAAATGGGTGTAACAGTTTATTGAAACATGTGCAAACATACATGGAAATACAGTATAAATAACAGTATATATTGCATATATACATTTTGTAAGTCAATATTTGTTATGCCTGCCCTCATTCATCATCACAGTCAGCACTCTCTGATTCATGACTGATAGTGTTGCACATCTTTTTAATCCAGGTATGCTTTTACTGTATTGAAAGTGTGTTTGGGATCATTGTCACGTGAAAAAATCAAGCTGTTGCCAATCACACTTAACAGATGGTACTGATGGTGTCAAAATCCATCAATTTTGACAAGATTCCCAATGCCACTGGGTGAAATGCAGCTCCAAACCATGACAGCCTCCATCCCGTTTTACAGATGGATGCAGACGCTCAGTGTTGTTCCTCTCTACTGACCTCCATAAATACTGATGATGATTTGAACCAAAAATTACAGGTTTGGATGCAGGTCTTGTGTAACTTGGCATACCTCAGTTTTTTCTCCCTGGTTCCCTTTACTAAGAATGGCTTCCTGACAGCCACGGTTCCACTGTGACCATTTCTGGTGATGCTTCAGGAAACAGTAGATGGATCAACTGAAGGGCCAGAGGCACCTCTCAGGTCCTTTGTCAGGTCGTTGCTGGATTTTTTTCTATTTCTTAAAGTCATTACTTTCAGATATTGCTTGTCTGATGCCTAACATGTCTTCTTTTATTCTCCACTTGTCCTATTTCCACATATTTTTTAAGGAAACACTGCAACCCATGCCAAGTTTTCAGCTAATAGCTCTTTGAGAGCTATTATTTGGTCCATAAAAACAATTTTATGTCTTTCAAACTGTGTTATATTTGGCTTTTCCCGCATAGATTCAACTAAAGCGCCTAAAGATGTAATTTAAACTTGGTTCTTTGCTTCTTTTAGTTATGTTGTAAGCTTTGTGCCTGTTTATGCTTGAATGAGTCAGTGTTTTAATGCTGACCAAACCAAACTAAACCAAAACATTCCTTTAAAAATGGTCACATACAAGGACTGGACTGAAAATGAGTGAAAAAGCAGCCAATGTTCAGATAAAAAGTTCAGAAAGTCTGGAGAACTATTTCTCAAGACCACTTTAAAGAATTACAAGAAAGTCTGGATCACTGGAAGCTAAATTTATAGAAAGGTGACTCAAGACTTTTTGCACAGTACTGTATAAAAAAGGAGACAAACTGAACCAATCAAATAACCGCTCTGGTGGAAGCAGCTAGTCAACTGTATTAAGACCAGTTTAACCATAAACAGCTGCAGCGGAGAAAACAGACACATAACAACTTTAAGAAACATGTTTTTGTGTAGCATTAATACAACTAAACACAGTAAATATTCTTATAAAAACCTGTATGACAATTCAATGCAAAAAAGCCCCAGATCAGTCCTTTATCACACGATGCAGCTGCTTGTGGGTCTGTCTGAGTACATTCTTGTTTTTTCTGTGATAAAGGAAACATTTAATTACGCTGCAGACAAATGAACCATAATGCCTGACTGAAAGTCAGTCTTATCTCGTCTTGTGTAGAAACGCTGTGATGTAGTTATCTGTAGCTGCCACACTGGTGTTCATATGTAAGGCCAGCACGCTTTGATGTACAGAAGACGAACCTTCAAAGAAGGCAATGAGAGCAGAAGAAGAAGAAAAAGAATCAGTTGTTCTCATCTGACAGCTCATGTCGTTGCTGTTTCTTTTTTTCCCCCCTCTAGGTCCGTGGCAGTAAAGGAGATGTTCTGTATATTCTGGATGCGAGCAATCCCCGCTATGCCAACTGGCTGCGGTTTGTCCATCAGGCGCCTTCACAGGAGCAGAAGAACTTGGCAGCCATTCAGGTACATTTCCACTCTGCAGACAATGAATCCCTCAGACCTTCCTGAAAGAAAGAAAATGATAAATATTACAGACATCTGTCAAACCTCCAAACCCGAAGTTCAAAATTATGTAAATTATTTCAAATTTGATCTCAGAAAATACGGAAATCTTATTTTCTTCTGGAAAAAACCTTGAAAACAAGATCGAAATGACAGGCTTTTTTCAGCAGCTATTTATTGTTTTTGTTGTGTGAAAAATCACAGATGTGCATGCGAGATAAAGTAGTTGCAAAAGAGCAACGTTAGTAGAAAAAGCACGGGTAAGAAAAAAGTCTGGAGACCTACAAGCTGAACTGAAATGGAATACTGCTTGAAAATTGATTGTTTTTCTAATGATTAAAGGTTTAAGGCAAAAAGGGAAATTTCTGCCAAAAAAATTCAGAGTTCATTTATATTGCAAAACAAATTACTTTGGCTCGAAGTCTCTTTGTTGCCAGATGTTTAAACTGTTAAAGGCTGTTATTAACATAAAAAGGACATTAAGTTGGAGAAAGAGAGAAGTGTATTTGTTTCTTTTCTCTGTTTTTATCCTTGGTGTCCTTAGGATTTATACATTTTTCTGGATTTTGTTGAGGGAATATTTTGCAGCTGCAAAATTCCTTTTCTTAATTTATTTCCAAGACCAGCTTTTATAAAGTTATTATATTGACAAATAATGTGTTAACTACAGTTATGCGGGAAATGAGAATCGGAAAATATGCAGAATTTTCCAAACGCACAATGTCGATTTTCACAGTCTTGTGAATACAGTACAGTGGATATGGGAAAGTTCAGCTTCTGCGCTTCTATGTGAAAGATAAAAAGAGGTTATCCGCTCATCTTGGGAGAAAAATGAAAGTCCAAGGAAGAGAAGATGAACATTTGAGGTCTGAGGGCCAAGTTGCTGCCATTAATAGTTGAATACACGGAGTGATCGGTCTTTTAAAGGTCACACATGTGAGTTAAATCTCTGTGTTTCATCAACGGTGACATTTATTGTGTAGCTTTCATCCTCTTAATCGTTATTTATGTATATTTAGGGTCCCATAGTTAAAAACCAAATGACAGTTTGATTTTATTAACATGACCTTTAAGGCAGGGAAGTGAATGACAATATTTTTAAGAGTTTCACCGTTTGACCTATGGCCTCAATCAAGCATTAACAGACTGCTGTCAGGGTGTAATAAGTTCATCTAGCCTTACCGCAGAAGGTTAAAACTGTTAGCAACTGACTTTATTTTTTTATTTTTTATTTTTTATTTTTTATTTTTTATTTTTTATTTTTTATTTTTTATTTTTTATTTTTTATTTTTTTTGTGTCCCGTTTGGATCTTTAGCCATCAGAATTGTTGTCTTAAGGCCAAGAAAGATGCCAAGCGGATTTATTTTACCAAGTGGATCATCATGGCCTTGCCATATTGGTCCATTTGATTGACCTTTATTATAATTCTGAATTTATTTTATTTTCGGTTGCTACAAACGGGACAGACATGACTGGGGGATAGGACAGGGAGAAAGAATGAAAGAAAGAGAGGGAGAGAAAGAAAACCAAAGGGGAGAAGAGACGGTGAGAAGGGGGGGAAGAAAGAAAGAAAAACAAACAAAACACCTGGATCACCTGTATGGAGAAAAAAAAAACAGAAGAGAAAGCAAACAAAAAAGAGCAACATAATAAAAAAAAACAGCACCATCACAATAAACTAGCTAGCAGTAGATACTAAATATTAAACGATATTATGCAGCACGCAAGATAAACAGCGCACAATGTGCTTTGAGGCAGCAGCCAAGAAAGGTGTAGTCCGCGTCTGTGAACACCCGTCTGTACACCTGTGTGCATACCTGTGTGGATCAGCATGCTTGTATTCCAAAGGTTTCTCCATGTAACGATCTGCTAGGGAGTGTGGGGAGCCACAGCCCCGTCCACCAGGGTATGAAGCTCCCCTGCTGACCCCAGTAGGCACCCCCACACTCTGGAACCCACCAGGGCAAGGGGGCCCAGGCCCATCCGGACCGGGGCCCGCAACAGCAGCACAGCCCAGCCCCACAGAGTCCGGGGCAGCCCACCTGACTCCACCCCAGAGAAAACTGCACCCACCCCATCATCCAACCATCTCCCAAACTACACAAGACAATAGACACCCAGGTTGAGTTCATTCTCCACCTCTCCTATATCTCTCCCCCCACCTGCAGAGTGAGCTCCTGTAGTGAGGAGACCACCTGCAAAGATATAACAACCTCCCCACCAGTTAGAGAGCCCCCTAGTTGGGCTGATGCACCAGAGGTCCCTTGCACTGGGGCTGAGCCCCCCTGCACCCACCCGCCCACTGCTCCGGCGACACAAAAGCCAGGACCCAAGCCCCCAAGGCCCGGCCAGCACCCCAGACCAGGGGGCGGAGCACCCCCAGACCCCCAAGCCTCCACGCCCGTCCCGGACCCCCCCAGGGGCAGCCAGGCTTAATTTTTTATTTTTACATTGTTAAATATATCGAGTCACGTTCAGCCAATGTTCAGGCTGTGTTTGTGTTTTTTTTAGGACGGGGAGAACATCTTCTACCTGGCTGTGGATGACATAGAGACAGACACGGAGCTCCTGATAGGCTACCTGGACAGTGATATGGAAGAGGAGGAAGAAGAAGAGGAAGAGGATATTAAAGATGAAGATGAGAACAGTAAAGAGGCCAAGCACCTTGTAGAAATGGGTACAGTGGAATGTTTTAGTTTGCCTTCTTATGTATACACATTTACAGGTGATCAGTTTATAGCACACACATAAAAAAAACAAAACTTGCCCTACAGTATGTCGAACTGTGTTCATTAACCTTAATAGAACTAGTAATAAAGAAGGAGGACCACCCCTGCTTGCTGTGTGAGAGCAGTTTTCCGAGTGAAGAGATCCTGGCTGCCCACCTCCAGAGTCTGCACCAGAGGCCCAGCACAGAGGAGAAGGAGTTCAAATGCAGGAACTGTGGCAAAAAGTTTCCCATCAAACAGGCTCTGCAGCGCCAGTGGGTTTACTCTTTCATTACTTCTAGTGTAGTTTTATTTCATGCTCAACGTTTCTCTGATCTCTGAGAAGTCTGTAGTTTGAAGAGATGTTAAATCAATCCAAGGAACTGATTAGATTATGTGTTAGATAGATAAAAGTTTGGCCCAATTTTTGATTTCGAGTCGAGGATGAAGTATGTGTATCACTTTGACCCCTCAAAAACATTAATATGGCGTAAAGCAACAGTTTATATGCTATGATTTGACACAATCTAACACAAACATACAATAACATCAAGTTTGATCACATTGCACAAAACACTGGCCAATATTTAAAGCCATAATCAGGTAAAATTAATGTCATATTTCATCTTTGGCCCAAAACTGAATTAGCAACAGTCTTTGGTGCCTGGCTATTACAAGTCAAAATATTTAACATTAGTCTGGGCAGGCATAGAGACCTAGAGGCTTGAGCGTGAGTGGTTAGTGGAGGCATTCATTCTAGTTCTACCTTTCGACATAGATATGCTAACTGCTCTCCCTTCTTTTAACTCTTAATGCTAATTTAAGCTAAATGGGTGCTAGCTTTAGCTTTATTTTCAGTATTTGAATGAAGAGTCTGTTTCAAAAAATGTTTAAATTCAGTTTTTTTTTTAATTTACTCAAAAGAAGAAAATAATTTGACTTTTTTCAGTGGAAAATCTTTTAATAATGTTACGCTGATGTTTTTCTGCTCTTGATTATTTGTGGTAGTCATCCTGGACTTGTTTTTATTTTCAATCCTCCCCCAGTGTTTTGCATTGTTCTGAGTCACTAGACCCATCAGCTGACTCCAAAGCCCATCAGTGCTCCCTGTGCCATTACACATTCGGCTCAGAGTCCAGGTAACATGCATCATCCAAACCATAGTACAGGACAGTGTAAAGCATGCAGTTGCACCACTGTTACTCTGTAACTCATAACTCTTCCTCTTCTCCTTTCGTCTTCGATACCTCTGTGTGTGCAGTTTTGAACAACATAAGGAAGCCTGTAAAGGAGATGCCAGGTTTATATGTAAAGCCGAGAGCTGCGGCAAAAGATTTAAGAGCAAAGACGCTCTGAAGAAGCATAAAGGAAATGTTCACACAGGTTGGCACCTCTGTCTCTCTCTGTTTCGCAGTGTTTCTCTGTGATGTTCACTGCCTCGTTCTCTCTGTTGTACACATGCGTAGCACTTTCATGTAATAAAGATAATCGTCCATTAGCAGCCTCAGCACTCAAGGAACTGCAGTTAGAGTGCATGACCTCGATCAGTTAAAATCTCTGCGATGTTAAGACACATCTCTAATTACTTGTGTTCCATAATTGCTGACCTGTGTGTGCTGGGGCAGCTCACTCTTTCAGATAATTGGACTTCCATAGCTATTTATGATGGGATGTAGGGCAGTGGGAATCTGTGCAGCCTTACATATCAACCCGAGATTAAGACATTAATCTGAGAGGCTGATGGAGCTGAGATCTGCGCCTTTATGTTTTTTCCCAGTGCAGTCAGAACTAAGTGGTGTGTGTGTGTGTGAATGTGTGGGCGAAGGGGGAAGTGGATCAGACGCAACAGATGTGGGTCATGTAATTCAGACGGGGATAAAGGGAGGGTGTCACTGGTCCCAAAATGGTGGGATCACTGGGGCTATGAGTAAGGGAGTTCAATGACAAATAAAACATTTGGTGTTTTTCTTTAACCACGTAATGATGTGTTAGTGTACCAAAATTGTTGTTCATTGCTAACAGCTCTGTACGTGGAGTTTTGTAATGCACTTTGTTTGTTTCTTTATAGGGAGTGCACAACGGAAACTCACATGCACCATATGCAACAGAAAATGCTCCTCTTCCCTGAATTTACAAGAACACAGGAAGGTGAGCTTCTCTAACATCTTCTGTACAGCTCAGTTGATCCCAGGCGGATACTTTGCATTGGATCTGAGAGGATTTGCTCAGCTTACGCAGTTTTGCATGATCCATTTTTACAGCGATGTCTCTTTGGTGCCGTTTCTCGCTCTACAGTGGTATCCGTCAATCTCCACTGTTTCTGTAACCCAGTCTAACCTCTTAATCTTGCGTCTGCTTCACATGTTTTAGGGTTCATTTATTCCCTCTTTACGATCAGGTTTAAACTTATTTGGGATGACAGAGCAGAGAGAGGACGGCGGTTTCTTTTTCACTAGCTCATCCCACAGGTCTGTTGAAATTGACGAGGCTCTGCTTGCCGAGCACAAGGTTTTAACAGGGTCCCCTTTCTCACTGATGGATTACAGATTTGAATTTAGCTGTTTAAATAGTTCTTTAAAACATTTTTATACAGCTAAAATTAATTTTATTGCTGTGTATATAAACCCTTTTTCAGTACATGATTTTTCTATGTCTAACACGTGCGATTAGGCAAGTTTTTCCAAGCTACATTCCTCTGTTGAGTAGGCTAATGGGTCATCCAAAGATGTATTTTCTTTGCAATTACATTCTATTAAATTAATTGCATTAACTAGTTATTAATAATGTAGCTGACATGATTGAGGGGTTAACGTTTGCTATGACAATGCCAAGATAAACACTAGAGAATGGTATTTATGTAAAAAAAGTAAATGCGTGGTCACACTACAGCTATTTGGCTTTCGCTTATATTCTCTTCTATTTATGTGTAAATGCTGCAGTAAGAGCAGATGTGGCTGAATGTCTTGATTTGCCAGATGGGCTTTAAGGCATGTAAAACATGGTGCACAATATTTGTAAAGACATTAGATATTATCATTTTATTTTTTATTCCAGCCTGTTTTGCTACATTTTAAAACATTTTTATCGTCAAACTATAGACTGTATATAAAAAATGGACACAGCCACTGTGACATTACCCATTAGCTGTGAAGCTCTGTTTTGAAACTTTGATTTTGACACTTTGGGTTCTTCTATGCTGTTCTTGTTTTTTGTGAACATATTTTAACCAGATGGTGATGTGTTAAATTATTAGCTAATGCTAGCATGTCTGGTTATTAAAGTGATCCCAGGTACTTAGTATAATTAGACAAACGTGTTCAGGATCACATAGTTTGTGATGTTTGCTGACGACATAGTGATCTGTAGTGAGAGTATGGACCATGTGGAAGAGAGCCTGCGGCAGATGGCCCCGCCCCTCCCTGAGCCTGGTTCTGCTGGAGGTTTCTTCCTGTTAAAAGGGAGTTTTTCCTTCCCACTATCGCCAAAGTTCTTGCTCATAGGGGGTTGCATGATTGTTGGATTTTTCTCTGTATGTCTACCTTACAATATGAAGTGCCTTGAGGTGACTGTTGTTGTGATTTAGCGCTATAAAAATAAAACTGAAAAAAGTTGAATTGAATTGAATTGAGGTGGTGGTATGCACTGGAGAAAAGAAGAAGGAAAGTCAGTAGAAGTGAGACAGAATAAATGTGTGTGAATGAGAGAGAGACAGTTTGAATGGTGAAGTTGCAAGGAGTAGACATAGTGAATGTGGATGAGTCAAATACCTGGGGTCAACCATCCACAGCAATGGTCAGCGCACGAGGGAGAAGAGTGTCCAGCCGAGGTGCAGCAGGTGGAAACGAGTGCCAGGGGTCATTTGTTACATCACCCCTTTGTTTACAAGATGATAGTGAGATCTGCTGCGATGTATCATAGCAGATTAAAATGCATATATGCAAATATCAATTTGGGGAAACTATCCGTTGAGACCAAAAAGGTTATACTCATGCTGGCCATGTTAACATGGGAATCTATGACTGTTCTAGTGTGTGTCCCTTCTGCATTAGCATAATGTGAACCAGCCTCGGACTGCAAGAAAACTCAAAACAAAACAATCTCAACTGCTCAAAACAATCTCTTACCAGATGGTCTTATACGCCAGCACAAGTTGAGCCTGTTTAAGCATCTTTGCTGAGCTCAGTCATATTCAATTGAAGAAAAAGATGCCTTTTTTTTCATTCTTTACAAGCCGGTCAAGCCAGATCTTGATTTGCAGAGAAAAGTCTGAGGCATAAAATAAGCCTGCTGCTGTCAGCAATATCAAGCTGCTTTAATATTTTCAGTTGAAAACCATGTGCTTTTTTTGTGTAAGGGTCATGTTGTATGACTAGGCAAACTGCTCTCTATCCAGTTGTACGCATTTTATATATAATAGTAAGTCAAAGGTGTTAAGGAAAAACTATAATATCTTAGTTTACTGTTTTTTGTGCTAATTATCCCTTCATTTGAGAACCTATTTTGTACAGCACTTTTCAGTGATGTTGGTTAATAAATTAGTTTGCAAGTTGTCTCAAATAATTTGTCTTATTAGAAGTCATTCATTAATTATCCCAGTTGGTGATTGTGAAATGTAATTTTCTGCTGTCAACATCTATCATCCAGATTAATCAGCTGACACTGTTCCATCCCTGTCCACTCATTCATCAGCAAGCTTCTTCCAAACCGTGCAACTGTTGTAAAGTCACCTGGAAGTGACACAGTTCTGCAGAGAATCATTTAACCTACTTCACCTGTCTATGCATCGGTATTCTCCAGTTTCAGATCTCCAAGGGGTTTTAAAATAGGAGTGTGTGATATTCCTGTGTGGCCTCCGGATCTGTCTGTGTACCAGTTTTACATCTTCTATTATAGTAAAAGTGTTTTCTAATCGCACACTGTTGTCTGAAAGTAAAGTAAAGATGTTTCTATAAATTTAGGCCACAACCACATGGGGTTTATATAAATTACCTATTTTTTTTTACAGTAAGAATCAAGTCCCATTAAAAGTGTTATTTTAAATATGTCACATTTCTGAAAAAAATCTGACATGTTCTTATAGCTTCAATCAAAGCCAATGGGCATTTAGTATTATTCTTACAGAAGAGAAATCAAACTTTCCATACTGATAATTTGGCTCCAAAGCAGCTTAAAAACTGCCTTTATCATCATTTAGCTGAACAAGGTTTTGCAGAAGCAGCTGACAAGAGGAGCTGCGTTACATTAGCATATGCTATTGTAGCTGTACGCCGGGGAGCTATTGAATATGCAATTACTGGAACTGTGCTGTGAAGCAGAAAAGGGATTGAAAGTTTTCATCACTTTAATTGCTTTTCCGTCTGTAGACATCAGTCTAATGAAAGCGGACAAGATTTAGTTTCAGTTGACCATCGCACACCGAGATCCTTGAACTTTCGCAACTCATTTCCCCTGAATTTTTTCAGTGGTCAGCAAGAACAAAACTTCAAATGCTCTCGCTCTGTTTTTTGCTCTTGTACCGTAGATACACGAAATATTTGAATGCCACGCTTGTGACAAAAAGTTCATCTCTACGAATCAACTGAAACGCCACATGATAACACACTCGGGTAAGACGATGACGCTGCAACGATGAGCTGACCTTTTTGCTTCATGCGTTCTCTCTGCTTCTCGGAGATAATCTCTGTTAATCTGTCACTGATCAGAGAAGCGACCGTACACCTGTGAGATCTGCAGTCGGTCATTCAAGCGTTTGGACCAGGTGACGGCTCATAAGATCATCCACAGCGAGGACAAACCGTACAAATGTAAGCTGTGTGGGAAGGAGTTTGCACACCGCAATGTCTACAAGAATCACAAGAAGGTGAGCAAGTGTATAAGATGCGAAGAGCCACTTTAGATTTTTATGTTCTATAATTAGGTAAATTATGTTAACTATACCACTGTATCCAGACGATCGGTGCTTTCAAAGAGGAGATACTCCTTAAAAGTCAGTGTCACTTCAAAGCTAGAATTATTAGTGAAGCTGTGATCAATCAGGGTCTCGTTGGTTGCTGTTATCTGTGGGGTCTCTGGGCATTTCCACCCTTGAGGTTCCCTGTGTTTACTTTTGGGATTGAGCTGTCACTCAGACAGATATGTGGGGGGGGGGACAGACGGGTGTCGCAAAAACAGAAGCACTTTGAATCTAAAGCCCCTCAAGCTGCTTGTCTTCATCAAGTCAACAAACTTAATTGGCTACGGAGCCTTAAGCAAAATCCTCCTGCATCAATTTACGAAGCCTCCCCGACGTCCACGTCGAGGCGGGAGGCGGCTTGTGTTACACTTTATAAACATGCTGCTCGATTCTCTTTGCAGACACACTCTGAGGAAAGGCCTTTCCAGTGTGAGGAATGCAAAGCGCTGTTCCGCACCCCCTTCTCTTTACAGCGTCATCTTCTCATCCACAATAGTAAGTATAACCATTTATGTGTCCATCAGACTCCTCAAACACTGTTGACATAGAAACCCCCTATCTGGGATGATAGTAGTAGATAAATCTGCTACTATCCAGTTGAAACTGCTGAAAACTGCTCCTGTGCACATACATGAGTACAGCAATATGACCAGCTCATACATTTCCTGGCTAATTGTGATCAGCTGCAGTGGAAACACCATATTTACAGTTACTCCCACAGGTTTCTGTTCAGGATTCTTCGAGCTCCATGTGTTCTCCTTATAATGCCTCAGAAGCTGTAAGTAGATATCTCCTTACAAAACATAGACATCTTTGATCTTAAAGTGACGAGTTCGCCACATTCTTTCACAACATTTTAAAGTAAAATTGCCCCGTTAAAACCAGCCTACTAAGTTTTACAGGCTATAGTCCTGTATTTTTACTGTTTTTATTGCCGTCTCATCCCTACCACTGTGGATATTTCCAGACGCTGTAACCCCATCAAAAGTCTCCCTGTTAAGACATCAGTTGTCTGATTGTCTGGTCCCCCCTGAATGCTTTGCTTTGACAGAAACTTTCTCCCTGGACAGTTGAGCTGCAGATGAGTCTTGGCAGGATGCATTAGTCGTCCTCAAACTGTGCCAGATAACAAAAGGATTGTAAAGCTCAAGGCATTTCCTGCTGCTGTCTCAGGCGGCAAGAAGCAATATAATATCAGGACTTTTATTATGCATCAATGGGATATAGGGCTTGAGGATTGGATGTGTGATTTCATTGTGCTCTAGGCGAGAAAACAGAAATAATGTACCAGTAAAGCTATCCAGTAATTGGCCAATGAGTAATTTTCAAAGACTTTTTTTTAAGTGCTTCTTGGTCAGTTGGATCACAGACAGAGAACCAAGACACTCAAGTGTTTACACCTGAATCTAATATGTGTTACTATCAGTATCGCTTCCATAAGAAGGTCAAAAGTCTTTCCTCGAGGTCTCTGTGTTCACCAGTGAAGTGGCAGACTTTTGAGCAAAGAGGAGAAAATGTTTCGGGGAGTTTGCCCATTTTTGGACTTGACTTTGTAAGTCCTGCATTGATGGTATATTTACCTGCTTTTCTAGCTGAGGATGTAAAATTTAACATAACAAAAGACATGTACACGCGCACTTTAAAACCAAGTATAAAAACCCCCCATTTCTCACATTTTGCTCAAAACTGCAGAACTATTGTGTAAATGTGCCAAAAGAAACAAAAAAGGCCATATTTTGGGGTTATTATTGTGATAGAATAACAAAATGTGTTTCAGTATTTTTCAGTTGTTTTATAGATATGAAATTATTTATTAGATCTAAAAAATGCAATTCCAGAGATTATAGGTAGATGTTGGGGTGGTGGAGGGGTTAGAAGAGAAAGCAGCAGCATATTTATAAATGTATACTCATACATTTTGCAGCATATGTGGACCATCAAATTGAGAGGGTGTGTCTGGCATATGACGTGCCTGACATGAGAGTGTGTGTGAAGCAGTGCAGTTGAAGCTACCTGCCTGAACTGGCTCACAGGCTTCGCTCTATTTAAACCTTTGGTTCTTTCATATTATGTCATCATAATTCTTAAATCCCACATTCTTTAGCCCTTTTCTGTACACGACTTTAAAGTTGCAGTGTATTCGTAACAACGTAACAAATCGGTATGTAGTTCTTGCTTTGGGTAGGGCACATTTATGTGTTTAGACCCCATTTGTAGACCTTTGGCATAACCCCTGCGCGTGTGTGTGTTTGCATCTAAATTAAAGTTTGTGCATGCTTATGTAGGAGCGTGAGTACCTTATTATCAGACTGAAGCCTTGCTCTGTGTTTTAATGGAATCACTTTGCGAGTGTGCCGTTGACGTTAATTACCATCACGAGAGTGTTTCCATCTAAATTAAAAAACAAAGCGAGCCTCAGCTTTCGCTGGTGTTCCTTTTCACTGAGCTGACCATCATCTGCCTTGGTAATAGGAGAATGAGTGCAAGCTTGTAACCACTTGCTCCCTCCATCTAAACTACTCTGTGGAAATTGAATGATCTCCATATAATTGAAACATCTTTTCTTGAACAATAGAAGCTGTTGTGTGGAGGCAGAGAGCCGAGGCGTGAAGGAAAACATCAGGCTTCGCTATCCCAGCAGCTGACATAACTGTCTAAAAGCTGTCTGTCTGGAGTTTTAGGCCTGTTCAGGGAAATGATTAATAAAATAGGGCATGTTTTTTAACTTTTTGACGTACAGGCCAAACATATGGCAGAGTATTTTATTTTATTGTTTACTTTGGCGTGTGTTCAGCTACACATACACAATAAAAGGCAACCAGAGCTTTTTAAAAGATGGTTGTCTGGGTTTTCTTTGTAGTTATCTGCCCACACAATAGCCCTGGTGAAATTGGGTCCCCTCTTGTTGTGCGTGATGACTCTGTGTTCAGACGTTTAACAATAGCTGAGGCTCTTGCAAATGTTCATCTTTTCCTTGCTGCAGGTGAGAGAACATTCAAGTGTGACCAGTGTGATGCCACCTTCAAGAGGAAGGACACGCTCAACGTCCACATCCAGGTGGTGCACGACGGCCACAAGAAGTACAAGTGCGACCTGTGCGAGAAGGCTTTTGTCACTCCTTCTGTCCTCAAGAGCCACAAGAAGGTGGGTGAAAAGAGCTGGAGCCAGACGACCTCAATCATACGCGGTGATTGCACGTCTGCTGGGGCTTTGTCCTGAAATTGAGTTCAAACACAATTGTAGTTGCATTTATTTGAAATGCGCACAGACATAACAGTTAGAAAATAAGTTGTGAAACTTTGCAAAGTAATATTTAGACAGTTACTAAGATTATATGCCATTTTGAGATAAAAGTTGAAGTAATGGAAGAACTTTGCTAAATTGCAGCTTAAAGCTGATTTTCCATCATCATCACTCTGCTATCAAACTAAATTGTAATAAAATCAATGGCATGGTGAACATCTATTCTAACAAAATATTTCCATTGCTTCGCATTCTGTCCTGCTCCTTGCCTCTTGACACTGATTTCTCTAACTATACTAATATTTCAGACTATTGAATCTGCTGGAAACATCCATCTTGACCGTTGTTGCCTAAGCAGGCTTGGAAATCAGTTCATATGTTGATTAGAAATGGCAGTTAGTCCATTAGCTCCGCAGGCTTTCAGAGCCCCGAACAGATCTCGCTGCAGATTGCGAGCCCTAAATCTGACAACGTCCGGTGCAGTTATGGATCAAGATTGAAACCAAACAGTTTCTTGGCACACGGCAAAAGAAAATGTCTTGGAGGTTGTCTCAGAACAGTAGGGCTGAAGACAGGCATGTTGAACTGTCTCAGTGCTCGGGGTGTCTGGAGGCTGCTGAGAAATCTGGCGTTGATCAAAGTCAGGTTGTTGAGGAGATGACAACTTGCCGACTGTGTTTACACGCTTGGAGCAACCCCACTTTTGGCCGCGTTATTGTTGAAGTTGTTTTTAATATGCACTTTGATACTATGCAACTGTTTGTCTCTGCAAACCTGGCTTCACAAATAATTATCACACCCACGCTCTAACTGGAGCTCCGCTCACAATTCGGAACATATGACGAGAATCTAAAATATATGGTGAAGGATACGAATCTTTCTTAACCTCAGGAAACGTGTGAGTCAGACTTCTTATGATCACAGTAAGAGCTTACTTCCCTTTTTTAACTACCAAGGTCATGAGGCGTTTATGCAGGGCTGCAGCTGCAGGTTGATTAGAACAGATATTTTTCAATTACTGTCGTTCAGTTGGAGTTTTTGGAAAAAAAAGAAACTGTTAAACTTAAAAACACACACACACACAAAAATAATCGCTTGTTTATTAAAACTAGTTGCCGGTTATGTTTTTGTAAGCTGGCCACCATCTGACGTCTTTTAGAACAGAAACAGAAGCAGCCATTGAACTGGAATAATTTGATTTAGTTCATCAAGTGAATGAATCAGTTTCACTCATTGTCCGCGTCATTAGGTACCCAAGCTCAGCTGCTCGTTAACACAAACATCTAATCAGCGTGGCAGCAACTCGATGCATTTAGGCATGTAGATGTGAAAATATTCCACGAGAGGCAGTTTTCTGAGTGAAAATGCCTTGTTGATATCAGAGGCGATTGGCTTCCCTGTCATCTTAAAGCTGACTGCAAAGGAACTATAACTTAAATAACCACTGGTTACAATTAAGGTGTGCAGATGACAGGCTATGAACGCACAACACGTCAGACCTTAAAGGAGATGGGCCACAGCAGCAGGACACCACACCTGTTGTCTATCGTTCAGGTGAAGAACAGGAAACTGAGGCTACAGTCCGCACATATTATGAGTCTCAATTTCTGATGCAATATTTGGACAGCAGAGCCAAAATTTTCCATAAACAGCAAACACCACACCCTGAACTCTGTTGTCATTTGGTAGTTGCTTCAATTCTTTCTATTAGATATAAACTGATATGTCAGGTTATAATGCCAAATAAAGTCATGTTTTTACAGTGTTTATCTGTTGTGACACATTAGTTGTGCTAAATATTCAAAGATGAGGAAGAATATGACCACTTATTTCAAGAGGCAAGGTAAACCCTGGACAGGACGCCCAATAAGTGCATGTCTTTAGGAGGAAGCCGGATGACAGGAGGAGAACATGTAAACTCCACACAGAACTCAGGATCTTCTTGCTGTGAACCACCATGCCACCGTGCTGCCCATGTTGAAAGTTTCTGTTAATTTCTAAATCAGTGCATCCCTACTCACTAGATTCAGTGAGTAGTTTTTTTTAAATTCAGTGAATTCAGCATTGCTGTAGTTCTACTTAGTATCAGAAATAGTTAAATAAGCACAAGAAATGTGTGTGTTTGGTTTCTTTAACACATGTAGCCAAAAACCACAGGAAACAAGGGAAAGTATGAGTTGAGTGCTTGACCCTCGAGGGTTAATCAGTGTGAGTTTATTTAGTCGGCGCAATCGTTATGGAAACATTTCGTTTGACAAATGCTGTCATCTCACCTGAACCAAGATTTTATGTTACAAGAAGGAGGAAAAATTAAATATTTCAAGGTTGAAAGTGACACTGATTTGCTGAAACAAACAGTTTTTGCTTTCTTTTCTTCTTTGCTTGTTCAAGCAAAACTGAATGGATGGCATGAATTTCATTTTATATTGTACAGTGCAAATGTCTCGAGCAACCTCTTCTTTCTTGATGTACTTCCAAGCAGTAAGACTTTCTTATCCTATTTTAAAGTGCTCTTGAGCCATAGTTCTCCAGGCTTTGCTTAAAAATCCAAGGAAACTTACCGAGTGGAAGCGGCAGGCCTAAAAAGCTATTTGCAGCAGATAAACGGTATGTTTAGGTTCTTAAGAAATAGAGAAATAGTTTTGGGGCTGCTTTTAAGCCAGTGGTTTGGGAATCTTGCCAAAATCAGATTTTTATCCATGAGGAAAGCATCTGTTTGGCAACAGCTTCATTTATCAGTATGACAACGATCCCAAACAAAGTGCCAGTGCAGTAAAAACATACCTTGGAACACACAATGGAACATTATAAGTCATGGACTGGCCTCCCCATTACTGAAGCAGTGACAGAAAATGGAATAAAAACCACCCAAAATCTAAAGAAAAGCTTTGAATGTCCTCCGGGAAACCTGCAAAACTATTCCTGAAGACTACTTAAAGGCTTGCCTAAGAGAGTCTGGGCTGCGTTAAACAATGAAAGTGGTCATAGAAAGATTGACTTTGAAGCTCATTAGAATTTTTGCCTTATTTCCTTTGATGTTTTTATATGTTTCAATACATTGCTGCCCCTAGTTCCCATTTTCTGAAGCAGAATATAAAGAAATGAAGCACTACTGTGTGTGTGTGTGTGTGTGTGTAATGGTAGCTTATGTAAATGAACAGTAATGTACATATCTGGCAGAACAGGACAGTGGATTCACTGAGCTCTCTTGTATTACAGTAAATACTTTATCCTCAGTGAGCCTGAATTTAGGTTCTACATAGGGGGTGTGTGCGCTTGTGTGTGTGTGCGTGAAAGCATGTATGTGCACACAATGTGTGTTTTGCAAGTCTTATCTCTTTTAGTGGCATGCTGGAGGAATGTACAGATGAATGAAAATTGCCGGGTTACTCTGAATAGATACAGACATAAAAATCATTGTCATAAAAGAAATCCCCAGCCAATTGCACGTTTGTGATTTGAGACGTGATGTTCCCATGTGAAATCGCAGACGTCACTGCGGGCTGTCTGTTTATAAAGGTAGAATATGAATTGTATTTTCTCTGTTTGTATTAAATAATGCAACATTGCTCCATCTGGGATGCATGTGTTCATATAAATGGATTTGTTTGTGCTTGTTTGTGCGAGACTGAGTGTGTGCGTGTGTGTGTGTGTGTTGAGTGTGGATGGAGCCTTTGTAACGAAACACCAGAGGTGTCAGAGGGACACAGTGGGGTGACGGAGGAAAGGATGGGGGCAGAGAGGAGGTGTTCCTGCATTGTTGTACTGCTGTTGAAACTGTCGCTCTGAGTTTGAGCCTTTCATACTCACGATTATTCTCGGGAATTTACAACAGGCCAGCAGGAAGAATTTAGAGTGTACTTTTCAGCAAGGAGCGGAGTGAGGGGGGTAGGGTGGGGAAAGGTAGAGGAGTTAGTGCACTCTTGCCACATGTTCTTCTTCTCTGTTTGCATGTGCGGCCCTTATGGGTCCATGGAACTCACCACGGTGGACAGCTGGGAGGTGAAGGGAGAGGAAGAAGAGGGAGAAGAAAAGGTCTCTTGGGTTTCGGACCCTGGCAAATGTGTATCGTCTGAATTCTTTGATCCAGCAAGCTTGCAGAATCAACTGTCATGTGAACATGAGCATCTCCATTTACTTGCATTATGAGAACTTGTTTATTCTGGACACAGTCATATAGTTCTGGAGTTGCTTTTACAAAATGAAAAAAGCACTAAAATCTGAGAGTGTTTGGTTGAACAGATGTATTCTAAGACCCGAGTATGAAAAAAAGCCCCTTAATTATCTTTTTTGATAACTTGGTTATGGACACATGTTCTGACTTTGAAATCCAGTTATTACCATTGATCACATTTTACTTTGTAATGTAGCAAAGATGTTAAAATGTGAATTTTCTAAATTTTTTCCTTAACATCCACCATATGTCTCTTTTATCATTTCTCTGCCAGACACACACGGGGGAGAAGGAGAAGATCTGCCCATACTGCGGGCAAAAGTTCGCCAGCAACGGCACGCTAAGGGTCCACATCCGCAGCCATACAGGTCAGCGGCCCTCCGTGGTTCAGTGCTTTGTTAAATCGACTTTACAGCCGCTGCACCTGCATTGGAAGTTGCAGAGTAACATATCAGTTCAGATTAGTACAAACTGATTAATTTGCAGTGCTTTCATTTCACTGAACTTTGTTTCATTTACTTTATTTATGATTATATTAAAAAGGTTAGTGTTGATTTAAAGTGTTTGGTTGGAAATTTGTTACCAACGTTATTCCTGAATTGGTTGGAAGAAGAGGCGAGCGCCTTAAAGCAGGACATCAGAGGCAAGTGTGTGCTTGTTCAGAACTCAAATGCTTAATCAACAGGCTGAAGTCATACGCAGGTTGACAGCTAGCATAGCAAGGAATCCAAGCGAAGAGCAGGCAAAAGGTTAAATCCAGAAATCAGGTGAAAGTCATACACATGCAGAATGAGATGAAACAGGGAACTCTGTGGGAAAAATACAAGGAAAAACTAGAATAAAAATCAAGAGAGGAAGGAAACCACAAGCAAATTCCTGTAAAGTACAAAGGCAGTCTGGTAGGGAGCAAATGCAAGCAGGAGAGTCCATAGAGTTTTGATTACTGGGCATACGTGATACCATTTGGGAAGAAGGTGGGAAATGTAACCTTGCAGAACTTGCTCCATAGAGTTGCATGTCCTGGGAGATCATATAAATGTGCTTTAAAGTCAGATTGTGAAAACAGAGTTCACACTGTAGCTGTTTATTATCTTCACATGCATGACTTGGTGTCAGGATTTCTGCAAATGAATCCATCTTCTAGGTCACTCGTATGTGAAGTAATTAAAAAAAGCAGAAAATAGCAAAAAAGCATTACATCATGCACATATTTTATGGTTTTACTTTCTGAGCACAAAGTTAGATGAGAAGATCAAAACCACTCTCGTGTTTGTAGTTAAATATGAAGCTACAACCAACAGCTGGGTAGCTAAGCTGAGCATACATAAACCCTGGAGTTAAGGAGAAACAGCCTGGCACCGTCTCATGGTAACAAAATCCAACAATAAGCACCTGCAAAGTTCACCAACTGAACATGTTTTGTTTATGTTATCCATGTTCACAGCCAAGAATTAGTCTAGCACATACATTCTCATAAAACCACTACTTGTAGTTATTTTTGTGCACAATTAACAAATGACATGTCTTATAATCTGCTTGCTGTGGCTTTATATCGAATGCACCCACACGAGATAGATGTTGTCTCACAAACAGACCCGTTCCTCGTTTGTTCTTCGTAGTATCCGTAGATCCTGTAGATCCAAACGCTCCTGTCCTCCCACCTTCGCTCTGCACATGTTACATCTAAGCAGTGAGATGGAGTGTATTTTAATGTTAGAAAATGGCAACGTGTTGGAGCGCTGGTTGCACTATCCTTTGCACCACCACAAAAATAAAGCCCTGCATGTTCATTAAACTGCCTTAAACTGGAAAGCTACACATTCCTGTGCGTTTCCTTACCAACAGACTGGTGCAGAGACCTGGCACGGCCACACACACACTTCTTGGCCTCACTCCCTCTTCTTCTTTCTGTCTGTCTCTGGAAATCTTCTTTTCCTCACTCCAACTTAAACTTCATCCACTGCTATTTTTTCCTCAGCCGTGTCCTCTTATTGTTGTCTGTCTATTTGAGCCTTACCTGTAGTAAGCCTCTTAAACTCAGTAAATGCAGTTTTTTATGAAGCCTACCTAATGTAATCAATGTTTAAACCCATTAAAGCTTCATCTTCCTTGTAGCGTTAGCTCCTCAAATTAAAAATAATTTCAGGAATATTTGTGGAAGCCTGTTAGACTTTCTGTCCACCTGATGTATGTTTGAATTGCCATCCACAGACAAGCGTACCACGCTTTGTCAACAGCCCCCTTTGTATCTGTGTGTGCGTGCGCTGTGTTTGTGTGTTTGCGTACATGTGTATGTGCGAAGGACAAACCAACAGAAAGGGTGAATGTATACCAGTGTGGTCTGCAGCCCAGTCTGATCGTATTTATATAGAATAAACAAAAGGGAGGAATGCTGGGGGAGGGGTGGGAGCCTAGGGGACACCTAAAAGAAAGAAAGGAGGAAAGAGAGAAAAGACCACTCCAAGAAAGCATCTAGCCGGATGACCCTTGACCCCGACTAGCTGTAAATCTGTCCCCTCATTCTATAGGCTGGGTTTTTTGTTGTTGTTGTTGTTATTTGTTGTGTTTTTTGGGCAAAAGGGAAAAAAAAAAAGCTCTGGTGAACAGCGTGAGTCGTTCCCTGAGCGACAACACTAACAAGAATCATCTTGTTCTCACACAGTGAAGAGTGATTTCACACAGCTCATGTAGCTCATCTGTGAATATGTAGATAAAATGAGCCTGTTAGTGTAAGTACAGATCTCCACTACCGCTTTCTGTTCCATGGGTGATCTCCTAAGAAGGCCACTAGCTGAGTTAGATGCCTGTAAATCGGCAGCTCCCCTGGATGGAAAGCGGGAAAGCTTGATCTTGTTTGTCTTTCCTGCTTCACAGGAACAAGACAGCATTGATTATTTACCTGCTAAACACAGAGGACTTTGTAAGGATTCTTTGGAGATTTCCGTCCCGTATCACTTTACCATCAAACACTACGGAGCATTATGAGAGAAACAGGCGAATAACGAGGATAGAAAAAGTGTGAAATGGATTAAAGGGAAAATTGAAAGAAAATCAACCTGAGAGCATAAAATGTTTTGGAAGAGATGTAGCACATATGTGACTTGGATTTAGTTTTAGTTTAATTTTGTTAGAACATCATGTTGGGCAAATTAGTTTTAGTGCCACAAAGACAGGCATCTTCTCACAGAGCACCCTTTATGAGATCACCCATAAAATGCGAGCTGTCAAAAAGCTGGATGAGGACGCTGTAGAAGTCTGTAGTCATGATGGATGTTTCTATCATTTTCTAAATTATTCTGTTTGGCCCTGTGATGGAGCGAATATGTTCTAATCCACATCACAGCTCAGTGAGAGCAGATTTTCCCACCACGTGTGCCATGAAGTGGTGAATAACCATAGTGGGGTCATGAAAATTATTTGTGCCAAGGGAAAATGTTGACAGAGCCCAGTGACTTGCTGTTATACTGACATCATAGGACATTTCAAGTTGCCAACGAGCAGTGTAAGCCCATGAGCTGCGTAACAACTAATTGGAGTGTCATTTTTAACCCTTTAAAAATGACACTCCAACAGTCAGACTTTTGACACGTGCACTGGTCTCCAGTGTACCATTCCTTTTTGACCATAAAGGAAATTGTGTTGTAAAATTAAGTTCATAATCACTCACATAACCAACTAATTACAAGCACATTTTTAATTAAATTTAACAAGAAGAAAGAAGACAACAAAACATGAGCTTTAAAGCTGGCCTGACTTTTCCACATTTTCTGTCATGTGCTCAGTAAAAATGGCCAGTTTTAAATAGTGATGTCAGCTTATGTGCAAAGGATCCCCTGTGAGCTAAAACATGAGCCTTCAGGTGCTCTAAATGCTTGCCGTTTTGCTCTATTTGATGTCAATTAGTGGGATTTTTGGGGTACATTTTAAAAAGCACCCGTGTGCTCAAGGTTCTGCGTAAGATTTTGGCTTGAATATGTACAAGATTTCAGAAGTTTCCATTCCCAATTAAGAGTGAAGAATGATGTTCTGCTTGCAGAAGCCATGCGATAGAGGTAGCCCATCCAAAGAAAGATGACCTAGGCTACGCCTAAACTAATCTGGATAAATTTGAAAAAGGTGTTTTCGTCTAAAAATGCACCACGTCCACACTATCGTTTTCAGTCGTTTCCGAAGAGTTTTTCATCCACACTGAAACGACTGAAAACACTTACTTTCCCCGCGGATGCATGAAACGTAAGATGATTCGACCTGCCTCATTTCAGTCTGCCGTTTATTTACGTTCCGGCTCTTTGAAACATCACGGCAAAATGTCGAGGAAAAGCACCGCGTTTTTTAAATGGACTGACAATGAGGTGGAGTTGTTGCTGCGAGTAACACAAGAGTACAAAGTTGCAAAAGCGAGTGAGAATATAGACTGGGAGACGTACCAAATACACTGAAATTAACATTCCGTCTTCTTTGAAGAAAAGCTATGAGGAGCATGTACAAACTGATATCAATCTTTAATAGGGCTGAGAAAAATGGGGAAAAAAACAAAACAACTGCTGTACAATGCCGTCCGCCATCTTAGTTGAATTGGTCACATGACTGCATCATATGACTAAAATGCGTCATCGTTTTTGAAAGCCTCCGTTTTTCACAATCCACACTGCAACACGAAAACAGCTTTCAAATGTATCCACTTTTTCAAAAAGCTCAGTTTTCCTTGACCAAAAACGCCGTCTTAGTGTGGAAGACCAAAACAGAGAGAAAAAGATGTTTTCAAACGAAAACGTATTAGTGTGGACATGGCCTTAAAGGGAGGTTGGCGTTTAGGAACGTTTATTGTTGCCGTTGTCACCCTTACAAATGCTGCAGCCAGTTTGTTATTTATCGCAGTTTCAATTATCTATCAGTGTAGGTGCCTAGAGATTCCCAGATTACATAGTTGGAAACATCCTGAGAATGTGAGGAGGAAAAAAAACTCGGAACAAACATGGAATAATCTTGCTTCCTGTTTCATCTTTCTCTTTTCCTATACCACTGCTGATGCAGAGATCTTTATCTTAGTTACAGACATTATAGTTTTCACATGCAACAACTAATGTGGTGACCACAAACAAGGATTTAAAGGGTGGCTGCAGCACGCCAGGGAACAGCAGAAGATAAATAAGGATTAATTTGAACTGAAAATCATGTAAAACTACTCTTGTTGTTGGAGCTATAAGTGAGCGCAATAAGTCCTGTTTAAATGAGATGGGATGCATCAACACCACTATGTGTCACCTAGCACGATTGGGTTAAAAGGAACACATTAGCCCTAAATACCCTTAGATTAATCAAGTACTGGAACAGAACAAGGTTAAGCACACAGAGAGACATTGGAGAG